GCTGACCAAGTGCTGGTTTTCGATTGGATCGCGGGCTCATCTCGGGTTAACTTGTTGAAAACAGGGCAGGATTGTTCGGAAGCCGGTTAACGCTAACCAAGGCTTAAAAGTCAACCGAATTATAACTTTTTTTCTATGCAAATGTTTTTTGGCTGCTTTGTTTTGTGTATATAGTGATTATTAAAACTCAAAACAGAAGGCCAAACAATATACAGAAAACCTCACCGCAAAGTTACAAAACTCAAATCAAAATTCTACCTTTTCCTGGGCTAGCCTAATCGGGCTTTGAACAACCCGGCCCAGGGGCTATGCTTGTAGGCTGACCTAAATCTATATATTATACAAATGACTCCCTCTACAACTGGGATTAGAGAAAAGTGGCTGTTGTAGAGAGGTGGCTGTTATAGGGAGGTAGGGATGTACTATGACACCTGTCTTTTTCCAGGGGTGGAACATTTCTGTCCTTGACAAATGCATATTGTACATAGCATATAAATATGTAACAAAATCAAAATATATTAATAAAACAGAAACAGAGACAAACGACCTGTGGTACCAATCAAGTTTCATGACCTTTTACAATACAAAATTGGTTTTTTTTTACAGCAACACCACTTATCAGTCATTGATTAACTGGCCATTGTTGAGAGGATATTTTGGCAGCTTAGAATGCACCGTCCACTGGGGACAAAAGTGGCCATAATAAAGAGGTGGCTGTTAGTTGAGGTCTGACTGTAAAACAAAATTCTTGATTCTGATTCTCTACATGTCTGTTTGTCATACAACTTTTTGTGCTTAGATACCTACAGTTGGCCATCTACACTACAGATGCACTTTAAAAGAATCTTGTTTCCTTACTTTTAGTAAACACTATGGAAAATACCACTAACTTTTTCGCTCAAAAGAATCTCGTTATTTGTCATTGATACATGTAGGTTTAATTATAAGCTAAACTCCAGAATACCCGGCCACTTATTAGCATCTCACTGAATAAGAATAGCAACTATTGTTATTATATATATAAATAAGCTAGTAAGCTTAACTGAACATCGTGTCGTACAATTCAGAGGGTAATTTTGCGCTCATAATTTCGCCTGATTACTCCCTGAATTGTACTCTACTCGGTCCAATTTCTATTACTAACAGCTCCGTGTAAGTCCACTGCTTATTAGGCCACTTACAATATTGGTTCGATCTGTTCCGGCGTGGCATCGAACATATTTGGAAACATATAGGCACTGACAACCGACGACGTAAGCAGAGCTGTCATACCAATTGGTAGACCTGCAAGCCTTTGCCTTGTACGTAACTTCCTTCTTAGCTTCTGAAACTCCTCGAACGATAGCTGGAATCTTTTCGGCGCGACCTTCTGGCCGCTGAAGAGCGGACTTCTTGAAATGGTTGGAGAGCTTTCACTCGAAACATCAGCGCTAATTGGAGTCATGCTATCAGAAAATGGACGATTCAAGATCGCCATGCATGGAATACTTGATTTTATACCAGTGCGAAGTACCACAAGAGTTCTTTTTGTTGTAACAGCTTCACTAAGGAAGTTGCGAAAATTTCTCGCCGCACCGGCCGCCATCTTTAAAATCGGAAATCTCCCACAATGCACCCCACCACTCTCTTTAAAATTAAACTGCTGTCTAAAAGTTGCGGGCTCGACTAAGGGCTGACTCCTGCAACAGGAAGAAGGTGGTCTCGAGCACAGGAGAGGAGAGATTACTGTGCCATTGAACTTATTATTCTCGAGACAAATTAAAGAAACATGGTTCGGTGGCTGCCATTGGAATCAAATCCAGATGTAAGGTTAAAGCTTGCCGGCGTCACGTTGAATTTTCTAAAATTCTTTTGTTTAGCTTCTCATTTCTCCATTTGTCTTGTTGGTTGCTGTGAATCCTCCTGGCTGTCCTGCTGTCATTCAATCACTGGCAAGGTTATGAACAAGGTTAGCGTACATGTAGGCTTACATTGCTTTTATGTTAAGTTTAGTTAGTGTTGAAATCTTTCTAGAACTTTTAGGATGAGAATTTGATGAGTTTGGCTGATGATGTTATAAAAACAAATTAGAGTTTTTCAGTTTCTTGTATTAAAGTTGGGCACACCTTAAAATTTATTAACTGCATTCGCCATTCGCATAATGCATAAGTTTTACAGTACTCTTGGGTACTGTGGGGAGTGGTCTAAGGTCTAGAGAACAGCTATCCAATTTGAGGAAGCACTCCCAGGCCTACTTTCTTTGTTTTCATTTTATGGCCTTCTGTTTTGAAAAATTGCAAAAGTGAAATCCTTGCATAGGTACATAATAGATGTTTTTGCACAAAATATAAGAATATGGTATCACACTAGGGAATTGGGGTGGGGGGGAAGTGTGGGCACAGATGGTCTTTCAAAAAATATCCGTAGATATTTGCAAAATCTTAGTTAAATTTAGTGGAACTTGGCATCTCAAATTTTTATATTGTGGGAAATACTTCAAACAGTAATATTTATTACATTTCCAAAGTATTCAAGGTAAAGTCACTGGTAAAGTTAGGGAACTCTTACATATATCAAGTTATAGTATTTAAATACACAGTGTAACATTAACTGGCTTTGTTCAAATTTTATTCCAGTTTGCAACAAGTCTTGGTTTGAAGCCAAGTTGGAGTTTTGTAGATGTGCTTGGACTTGATTCTGAACTTTTAGCTATGCTGCCGCAGCCCACATGCGCTCTTCTACTTCTTTTTCCAACAAGTGACAAGGTAGCAGTTTGTCACTTGTTGTTGTTGTATTTTTTTAAATTTAATTACAATATTTAGAGAGGAAGCCAGATTAGCTTCAGCAAGTTACATGGAAAACTACCTGGAAAGCCTTATGTGCAGACACACGCAAAGAAGATTAGGTTTAAGTAAGTAGGGAAATCCAGGAGTATCCAGAGAAAAACCCATGCAGCAAGGAAAAAATCAACAATAACCTCAACCCTCATATGGCACTGGGCTGGAATTGAACCCAGGTGACACTGGACGGTGCGAGACAAGCACTCTCACCACTGCACCATCCCTGTTCCCCCAGCTTCCCCTTTAAGGCCTATTATACTGTCTTATAAAACTCTTAAATTCCTGTGTAGTATATATATGTGCAAATGTGGCGTTATTGAAATAATCAGCACAAGAGCTGTGAATCATAGTTTCTCTGCCAGTAGGTTCAATCTTAAAAATAATCATGATTGCATGTTATGCAGTAATTATTGTTATCACTGTGAATTTAGATATCAGTCATCGTTTGTGTTTGTTGGAAAAACTAACACAGTGCAATTTGCTTTTCAATAGTACCATGAATTCAAGAAAGAACAAGAAGAAACAGTGAAGCGAAAAGGCCAGGTATAGATTGAGTTGTTCTGTCAGTCTAAGCACATTAATTATTCACACAGTAGACAGGTGACTATTGTCTATGGGATAAAAAGTGGATTAACTATTTTGATTATTAAATTTTTGGCTTTTAATTAATTATTTTTTGATCAATTATTGTGTTATTGGTTTTTGAAATTTTGATTTGAACCAGGTTAGATATAGAAAAATAATGAAGAAATCAAGGCAAGCTTGATATATTGGCACAATAACATTATTTTTTAAAACAGAAAAGGTGTAACTTACTTTAATGCTGATGTTATCATGACTTCAATTTGACTAAAAAATTCAAAACTACAATTTTGAACCGTAGCCATCCAAGTAAAATGATACTACCATATGTCATACAATAAGCCACACTTGAATATTAATAGCTATATGTCATTAGGAGGTGAGCCCTAATGTGTACTTCATGAAGCAGACAATAGGAAATGCATGTGGAACAGTAGCCATAATACACTCCATTGCAAACAACACAGATGTTCTAGAGTTTGGTAAGGCAATAATCAGAACAGAACTTCAATTCTAAAGCTAGAGATAAACCTTTTTTATCATGCACTGTGAATACAGCTGCCCATTGTTTCTCCCAGCCAATTTGATATTTTCTAAGAAAAAAATAATGCCAAACCTGCCAGGAGTGACAGGAGATGTCGTTATTCACAGGCTATCATTGTTTGAGCTGTCTATCACTGTTTGTTTCTGACTGTATGCTTTCAATCCAATGTTGCCTGCACAAGAAAACCAATAAAAGATAAAACAATATTCTGTGTAGAGTCTTTTTTTCCAGGGTGCTAATGAAAATATCAGCAGAACAGAACAGGGACTAAGAAGTTAATCAAATGAAGGATTAGATTTAACATGATTTCATAGTGCATGGATTGTGATAACAATAACATCTTCTCTGCATTGAGATTGCAGGTCTAAGTGATCTCTGACAACATCTTTCTATACTTTGACAAAGGTGTTTGATGTAAAATTCCATTCTGTTTACACAGATGAGAAAGGTTTTTTGAAGAACTTTATAGACGCCACAAAATCATTGTCGCCAGACGAAAAAGGACAGAAACTGGAAGTTGATGAGGTTAATAGTAACATTGTTCTCTTCTGTAAGAAAGAACTTACTGCTTAATAATAAATGTGTAACAACTCAATACAACTATTATTTCCCATCATATAGGTATAGATCCATTTGCATTAGTAGATAACAACATTTTCATCATCAAGAATTTATTAAATTTCTTGTCCTTTGTAGAAAATTGGTGATATACATGAAGCTTGTGCCCAAGAAGGTCAGACAGAGGTAAGGAAAACATTCAATAAAGAATTTTCTTATTTCAGCTCATGACCTTGTTCTCACCTCAACACTGTGCATGCAATCCAAAGATGCCAACCCAAAGAAACTCAAATCTAGAATTCATCAGTGAGAGTTGATCCTCTCATTGCCTAAGGGTAGCTGACTGAGAAAAGGAGTCTCCAAATTCCATGACATTAGCTCCACAAATATCCAAAGTGGTAGAATCCAGACAATATTCATGCCTCTGCCCACTTTCCCCCTCCCCCCTGACCCTGGGAAGGTCATTGGCAAATCTGAGGGGGAAGGGGGCTCAAATACCAAATGTTTAGGGAAAGTGTGAAGCTAAACTGGAATTCCAATGGTGGAAATTTTTCTTAAACAATGTAGTCGTTACCTTCTAAAGAGGGCAAGATGTGGTGAAAGTACTTTTTGGAAAGTTGAAAACATGAAATGAAAGTTTGTGCTTTCAATAATTTTCTAAATGTGTCTGGATATTTGACAAATATCTTGAAACTGCACATGATCTGAGAGGTTCAGCCTGTATAATCCAGGGGACTTGCAGGTAATCTAGGATAGTTTGTAGGTATGGCATTAGTAGTGACTTGTCAAGATTTTCTCAGCGTTTTGAACTGTGATTAAGAAGCACAGCAGCAGAAGCATAAAGGGTAAGGTACAGTATTGTAAAATAGGGACACTAGGGTTTTTGTTCCTGCTGGACTATCAGAGAAAGAAGGTAACACACTTGGCTACAATTCTATGCATGCTTTGACTTTAATGTTTCCCATATGGTCACGTAAAAACCACTGCCAGGCCATGATTAATGGTTAAAGAATGGGTGTTTTTGTCAAAACCCAAGTTCTCCGAAGGCTAATTTCAAAAAGTGAATTTAACTGTACATAAGGAACTGTAAATTTGTGATTCAATGTCTGTGTAATTTGTAGGCACCTCCTGCTGAAGAGCATGTTGACCTTCATTTTGTTGCCATTGTGCACAAGGATGGAAGTTTGTATGAATTAGGCAAGTGAATGTGTCTAGCTTTTTATCTTATGGTTTGTCTAGGTGATGTTTTGCACAATGCAGTATGTATATTTATTATATAAACACCAGTGAAATACCAAGATTTTTTCCTTTTACTAAAAAATTATATCTTCATTGTGCACAGTGAAGATACTATTTTTATCTTTCACACTATGAAGATATCATTCCTTTTTGATAACATTTTTCTTTTGTCCCTTAAACTACACTTAAATTTGTTGATGTATGATCGAAACATCTTTGGATCTCCTTTGGTCGTCTTTGGCAATCTTGGGCAATCTTCAGTAATCTTCGCAAAATGTTCAGAAATGTTAGGAAAATGTTCAGATGCATTCATCTGGCCTTCGGTGCAATTTTGGAAAATCTTCAGAAATCTTCAGAAAATGGTTGGAAATCTTAGGAAAATCATCAAAAACGTTGTCATTAGTATGTTTATAGAATAAACAGAATATTACATGCCCGCTTGTGGATACAAATTTTATCTTCTCCTATTCAACTCAATATCTCACGAATGAGGTATCGAATAGAACACTCAAAGATAAAATTCGTATCCACATGCAGGCATGTAAAATCCTCTATATATATATTGTTAACAACACAAGCACTAGAAACATTTCTGGAATGTGGTGTTGCTTCTAAACTCCTAATGCCTAAGGAAAATGCAAGTCACAAGTGTACTGAATATCTGAAAGACACCATCCATAGGTTAAAAGGCCTGTCTATTCTGCGGACAAAATGTTGTGCTTCAAATTAAGAGATAAGAGATTGTTCAATGGTCATTTCTCATCTAGTTCCATTCTGCAAGTTATTTCTGTCGGATCATGAAATTGGCCCATTTTTGTGGAACTAAGTTCCTGCAAAATTTAGGTGGCAATAATGTAAACTCAGTTTACTAATCTTAGAAGACATAATGGATCAAAAATCTGACTGAATATTCATGCAATGTTGCCTTCTAGATGGGAGGAAGTCATGTCCTATAAATCACGGCAAAACAACACAAGAGACATTTTTAAAGGCAAGTGCACAAATGACAAGTGAACATTACTCAATGTCCTGTTTTTGTTTGAAAATAGTTGAAGATGCATGCTTGCTCTAACCAATTAGCTCACTGTCTTGTGATGGAGGTGTTCTCTTCCTGGTGATTACCGAAAATCAGTCTAGCTCTCTGTATGCATTGCAGGCCTCTAATGTAATTGTTTATGCGTGGCCAGTGTTCTAAAGTTAGGGAAACTAAGTGGCCCTATAGGGAGGGACTAGCATGACATCAGGGGATTGGGGTAGAGGGTAGGTGGTAGGGGAGGGGGGTTCAAGTAGTGCTCAGGGCTAGCAGTTTCATGACAGAGAAATAAGGAACCAATACAGGTGCCCACCTGTTAAGCTACTAAGTTCTGTAAATGCTTTCCATTGAAGTGAAGTTTCAACTGTATTTACAATGTACCTTTAGCTAATAGCAGATTTTTTTCTTATTTTTAGGATGCAGCTGAAGTATGCAAAGAGTACATGAAAAGGGACCCTACTGCATTAAACTTCACAGTAGTTGCACTGTCCAATACAAAATGAGTTCTGCAGGTTCACATCATTGCAAAACACAAATTTATTCTCCAGCAATAGTAAAATTAAATTATGAACACAGTGTGTTTTTAGCTGTTCTTTTTTCACTATAAATGTAAATCTTAATGAAGGAAATATTAGACACAATTTTGGTTGTTTTAAATGAAGAGAAAAAATAAAACAATCAAGAAGCAAATTTGTGTGAAGTCTTTTCTATTCTGGTTGGGTAGAGTCTGGTCTCGTTATAGCAGACACCCTCAGGACTGTCATTTGGGGTTCGCAAATCATAGCAGTGTGTGATGAAAATGAACCAATTTTTGGTTGTGAAGTATCACATATAATGTATACTGCTTTATACCATGCCATAGAAAATGCAGCCAATAAGAATACAGGAAAGACATTGTATATTTGACGTGGTGCGTGTGTCAGATTGGTTGTGTTGGCTGCTGTATTTTTTATGGTATGGTATTAAACAGTATCAAATGCTCTCTCGTGGTGTATATATAAACAACAGCCTCCATTTGGCACGAAAGTATGCTCGGATATTTGTCCGCGGACATTATCTGTTCCGAGAATCAAACATTTTTCTGAGAGCATAGCTCAAGGAAAACTGTGAGCTTTGAGGAACAGAAAATGTTCAAGGACAAATATCTGACCATATTTTCAAAGTCAAATGGAGGCTATTGTGTTTAGTATCCTTCAAATATTTTTCGAAACACGCACAGTTCTGAAAGTTGGGGAATATTCTTGGATATTACCCAGTTTTAGTTGGGGAATGTTTGGTCACATGACGCATTTAGACCAGTCACTTGTGAGCGAAAATATTTGATGGATTACAACATGGAATTTCTGACTTGTCACTTACACAGGAGCCTCTAGGCAAGTGTGTATACTGAGAAAATACAAGTGACTCATGGGATAATTCACAGTATACCACTCAAAAGTGTTGCATAACTAGTATGTATATAGCTATAAAGGGGATATACTTTCTCTACAAATTAAAGGAGCTCAGACATGGTATTTTGAGTTATTTCGGCCACGTACGAAATAACCTTCAAATTTTGGGAAACCTGAAAATAATAGTTTACTGAGATAGAGATAACACCAAAGAGTTCATAATAAACCTTAGGGGAACAAGGATGGTTAACGATGGAGAAGTTTAACATGAATTACAAATAATGAACTTGAAAAATTTAGGTTAAAGTTTTCAAGATGTCCAAAGTATGATGTAGCTCCCTTTATAGCAGGCTGTCCAGGAGGCATCTTGACTTTATTTATAATTCTCCCATAGAGTCGTTATTTGGTCGTGAGGCAGCGCTGCTTCCC